GCATTTCGTTACCTCCTCAACAACAAGCTTCCACTAAAGGTCCCACTCAAAACCAACTCTGATATAGAATCGGCCATCAAGATCTTCAATGACTCTATTCAATGGGCAGGCTGGAGCTCAACACCAGAGAACCCCACCCCTCACCAAATCAAGACTTGCCCAATACTGATCACCCAAAAGCTACAAAACAAAAGGAGACTCCGGAGGAACTGGCACCGCCTACGGACACCGGAGAGTAAACGTCTATTCAACGCCGCCACACGGGAACTCAAGCAACTCCTCACAGACTATAACAACTCAAGTTTTCAAGACTTTCTGCTCAACCTCTCCCCATCGGCATCAACCAATTACTCTCTGTGGAAAGCGGCCAGGAAAGCTAAACAAATCCCAATTTCCTCCTATCCACTTCGGATTCCATCAGGATCATGGGCCAAGACCAGCAAGGAAAAAGCGGAGGCCTTCGCAAACCATCTAACGGCCGTATTCCAGCCACATCCAACTACAAACCCACCAGAAGACGAAGAAGCACTCACCCACCACCTAGAAGAGCCGCATCAACTCGAACTCCCCCCCATCCGCTTTCGCAAATCAGAAGTCAACTCCATCATCAAAGGCCTCAAGTCCTCTACCTCCCCAGGATACGACCTTATCACGGGGAAAATGCTAAAAGAACTACCTCCTGTTGGAATACAGTATCTCACCCAAATCTTTAACGCCTCTCTCCTCACTGGCTACTTCCCCGCTCAGTGGAAAGTAGCAAAGATCATCCTTCTCCTAAAACCAGGGAAACCCCTAACGAACTCACCTCCTATCGACCAATTAGCCCATTACACATCCTATCCAAAGTCTATGAGAAACTTCTCCTAAGTCGCCTCCTTCCAATAGTCGAAACAAACAGCTTGCTACCTAACCACCAGTTTGGATTCCGCCAACGGCACTCCACGATTCACCAAACACACCGATTAGTTCACAAAATCAACGAAGCACTGGAAGCCAAGGAATACTGCTCTGCGGCTTTTCTCGACATCTCGCAAGCCTTTGATAAAGTATGGCACCCAGGACTTCTTTATAAGCTCCGACAGTCCCTTCCACTCAACTACTATCTCATCCTCAAATCCTATCTACACAACAGATTCTTCCAAGTCAAAATAGAAGAATCTTATACTAACCTCCACCCCATCAATGCAGGAGTGCCCCAAGGGAGTGTACTTGGCCCACTGCTCTACCTCCTTTTCACCGCGGACCTACCAACATCCCATGACTCCATCACTGCCACCTTCGCAGATGACACTGCGATCCTAGCGTCAGACCCCAATCCAACTGTAGCCTCACAAAAACTGCAAAACAACCTACAAGCAATCCATGAGTGGCTAACCAAATGGCGCCTAAAAGTCAACAGCATGAAGTCAACACACGTCACATTCACCACCCGAAGTCAAACTTGTCCCAAGGTCAATATCAACAATGAGGATCTCCCACAATCAGATGATGTCAAGTACCTCGGTCTACATCTGGACAGACGCCTCACTTGGCACAAGCATATCTTTACCAAAAGAAAACAACTTGGTCTCACACTTTCCAAAATGTACTGGCTTATAGGCCGAAAGTCCAGTCTCTCAATACACAACAAACTTCTGGCATACAAGGTCATCCTCAAGCCCATCTGGACCTACGGATTACAACTCTGGGGGACAGCATCCAACTCCAACATAGAAATACTGGAACGCTTCCAGTCAAAAGTACTGCGCCTAATAACCAACGCGCCATGGTACGTCCCAAATACGATCATCAGGCGTGATCTTCAAATCAACACAATCAAGGAAGAGATCAGCCAATGGAGCTCCCAATATAGAGCTCGACTACATACACACCCCAACGAACTTGCAGCTCAACTACTTCAACCACCAGACCTAAGGCGCCTCAAACGACACCAGCCAATCGATCTGATCACCAGATTCAAAATATAATCTTAGTTAGTAGTTTAGTTTTAAGTTTAGCTTAAATCTTAGTTAGTAGTTTAGTTTTAAGTTTAGCTTAAGTTTCTCCCCTTCTCCCACCAGGCCCCAACCTATTCACATACGGAGGGGAACTAATGAGCTCCCCTCCACACGTCATTTCACACAACTCACAACAATTTGCTAAATGTATTCATACAGATTGCAAATAAATTGGGATCTCAAAAAAAAAAAAAAAGTATTTGTTTGTCGTGCATGCACAAGTTTCTGCACAAATCAGAACACAAAGTAATATTGATATTAATAATTATCAGGTTATGATTAGTATAAATTCCAGATAGGATGGTTACAGTCATTTGTTATAACATAAACATCAGCTTTGAAACTTTGTTCAACTGAATTAATTTTTTCAGTTTACCTAATCCTTCCAGCAGCACTATGGCCCTGGGGCCGAGTCAGCCTCTAACAGAAATGAGTACCAGTAATCTTCCTGGGGGTGAAGGGTGGCAGGTGCATAAGGCTGACAACCTCACTGCTATCTGTGAGCTGACTGTCTAGAAAATGTGGCAGCCTCGATGACTCACAACCCTTTGGGCCTCAATGGCCTGTTACAGGCATAGCTTTACCTTTACAGTTAAACCAGGGACAGGTCATCCTTAAGGGCTGGGCCCCACAAATATCTAACACCTCATTGTATACAAAGTAGGTTGATGAATTTCTAATTTGTTTTCATTTCTTATTACATAAAATATAGTTTGAGAGATCTGTAATTATTCACACTTTATGTGTAATAAGGTTTTTCAAAATCTGCAGAGATGTTGCTTCAGTTGCAAGAAGGATCTTGCATTATGATAACTGCAAGCAGTAAAAGTCTTGACTACAGGGAATTAAGAAAATTAACATATCCTAGCTACTACAGTAAATCTATATTATTATGTTACTGCTTACAATAAGGTTTTGACAATCTTACCCTGTCTCAGAATCATATTCTTGGCAGTGTTCTGCATTTCTAACTAATTTTATACACCATGAATATAATAATATCATTGCTGATATATCATACAGCATTTGTATGTTGACTTAACATGATAAATAGTAAATGATGACAATGTTTTGCTGATTACAGCTCTGTTCTGGAGATTATTGGGGAAAATCTGCCTCATTTATTCTCATTAACAAGATTTAATAACACATTATTATAACTGAGTGATTGCAAATGAAGTGTCCTTACTTGTAGATATTAAGCGTTGAGGCTTGCTGATTCTGTGTTGACCGCTGCCTGTGCTGATAACCTCACTTTCATCACCACTTTCTTCAGGTGTAGCAATATGGCAATTCTGAAATAAATTTCCAGGAAATGTCTGTTGTACACCAATAGGAATGTTTACATTATTCTTGGAGCAATTTTGAGGTTTCTGGCACAAATTTAATGTTCAAAAAGCTAAACCGAATGTCACTGATGGATTATAAGTTTATAATATCTAAATCCGATAATAAATGTTTCGCGGGGCAATCTAAAAAGGAGTGTATGCTTTATGCGTTCTACACGCAACATCATTTTTAGTCTTCGTATACATGTAGTGTTCCTTGCTACATGTGCTTTAAGTTCTTTAATGTAGTCTCTTGAAAGACAACCGACGTTTCGTAGGAATACATCGCCTCCATCCTCAAGGTACAGGCCGAGCAATAAGCCAGTGTAAAACTAGGTGGCCAGCACAGCTCTGCTTGCCACAAATGTGTAGGACACACGTTTTCAGGCTGGGAACCAATTCAAATTTATGTAGCGACTTTGTGATTGGTTCAGTTTTTTATTACGGAAAAAATTATTGTAAATACAAAAATGGCCTAGGCAATGTCCACGCAACCTTCCATAACACATTCTTACCGTTCTTACCTTTCTTATCTTTCTCATGTATAGTACCTTCGAAAGTTCAAAACGTTCAAAGCTGATTGGTTCAAAGGTTTCAAATGAGCCGTGGCCACTAGTGACATCTTTCAGCAATAATTTTAATTATTTGCATGGACTTGGTTCACCTAATTAATTGCACTTCTACCTAGATATCGCTAGTGCATGTTCCCCCCCCCCGCACTGAACAAGACACGTGACATGGTGGTGAAGTGGTGAACGGTGGTGAATAGGTGAATAGTACGTTTACAAATTCTTGGTAGACTGAACTCAGCCGTAGAATAGCGATGTTTAGTAATCCGCTACAGATCTGCGAAGATCTACATTCCAGCGCAAAAGTGTACGTTACTAATCTTAGAAGAATTATGGCACAATTTAGTAATCCCTGGTGACACTAGCACATATCAGCTAAGTAACTTCATGGAGCTCAGTCCATAAGAAGCCGTCAGCTATTCAGCTACTGCTCAAGAATTTCCCAACATCTCATGGAGCCCAGAGGTTCATTGCTATGTTTACAAGAGCACGCCACTGGCCCCTACCCTGAGCCACACGAATCTAGTCCATACCACCTCAGCCTATTTCTCTAAGAACCATTTTAATAGTAATCTTCTATCTATCTATCTAAACATCCTCAGTCTACGTTCTTCCCGTAATATCAGAACCTAAGTTTAACATGCATGCGAAACTATGTACAAAAAGATTATTGTTTTGTATACTTAAATTTTTACGGTTTTTAGACTGCAGACGGGAATGAATTATCGAATTTGGTCCGGTCGTAATTTCCTCATTAATTAAATTTTGATTCATTGCTGTCGTTCTAAAATATTTGAACTTTGAAGAAAGCTTGATCTTTGTTACTTTTTCAAAGGAACTATTAGCTATCGTGATTTTGCCTTGAATTCTGGTGACGATACATATTCTTTCGATTGGGAATTAAATTTCCTACAAGAGGTTTATGAAATTATAGGTTCTCACGGCACTGAATATCAAGAAGGCGAGTTTTCTGCCCGTATTCCAAAACGTCCACGTTATTCGTAGGAGGACAGCAGGGGAAAGCTGTTTAAAACGAACCTATACTTCTTCGGATGTTTTCGATTAGACGTGAACGATTATACTTGTGTAATAGTGCTTCAAACTTCGATGTAGGGTTTCATTATGAATAATATGACTAGCCATATTCTTTCCTAGCAGCAGATGTGGATTAATTTTTTTTCTGATTTACTCTATATTCTTTTTAATTGAAGATCTAGAACATTTTGTATATTCATGTAGAGGAGTGATCTCCAGATGTCCATACGAGTACAATAATTGTGTCTAGGGGGAGAGTACAAAAGTCTGTAACGTCTGTAACCTCAGAGACCTTATACACGAAATTACAATTGCTACTATTAGTAGCAGTTATTTTAACAACAGCTCATCAAAATGTATTGTAAATTGTGCTAGTATCAATTTTCAGGGAGGTGACTTGATGAATTACGTTCGGAAATTATTGCGATCCCTCGATAAAATGAACACACCCAATGTTTGCCTGTAGGAAATGGCTGACCATAAAGCAAAGTGAGGAGTGACGGTCGGAAAATGGTTATTGTACGGTAATGTTGTTTGGTGTTGTTGCGATTGTATTTCATTATAATTGATATAGTTGAAGTCCTAATACCGACAGTTCCTAACGTCCAATTGGATACACAGGAGTCTAGCTGGTTGCAGGATATTACAAATTTCATTTTGTTTACAATGGAATATTTTTGTCCCTTTTTTATATGCGTGTTTATGTGATATATCCAAGGCAAAATGAAAGAAAGAGTAAGTCTGTAATAGTAAGCTGGTTAATCCGCTCTAGTTTGTTTAAAAGCTTTATCATCCCCACAAATGCCATATTATCCTCCCAGCAATGTAATAATCTATTCAATGCATTTATTTATAAAATTACGAAAGGAGGATGAGTGGTCTCAGATTTGTATAAATTGAGAAGTTCCTTCAGGTGTTGTACTTCTGTGTATCTTAATTGGAACATTTTACATTTATATTAAGGTGCATTTAAGTAGAGTGGAGTGTACTCATAAATTCTCATTTTAAATACCCATTATTGGACAAGGAGGTAACGTTACAGCATTCATACGCCTTTTTTTTGTTTCTGTGAATATATTGGTATCTCTTATTTTTGTTATTAATGTCGAGGTGTTTGAACACCAGAACTTATTATAGTTTGAAAGATTGTTTAGTATTGTTATGCTGATATTGTTTCCAACTTCAGTATCTGATGAATTATAGACAGTTATTTGTCACTGATGTATGGGAGAGGCAAATATATTGTGTTTTATTACAAAATTTTTATTATCTCTGTTTTTGAACAATGGATAGCCAATAAAAAATGTACCCAATATGTATGCAACAGTGATATTTTCTTAATTATTAGTTGATGCAATGTTTTGGCTTTGTTTGGTTCATCCTTGTTCTGAAGCTTTTTCACCTCCTTACATTGTGTTGTGTCTTACTTGTCTTATTTTATGGATTCTAAAATATCTATTGTACTGTTTTATATGTATTGGAAATATATATGTTCCACTGGTATTGTGTGTTACAATTTAACATATTGGCTCAGATTAAGATACTATCAGAGTTCTGAGGAGAATATTTGAGTCTGTAGAGGTCACATAACAAGCAAATGGAGAGACATGGGATATTTCTAAATTTATTTTTTAATACTACTGTTAATGTAAATAAATTGAGGAGTCTTGAGGTGTTGGGACATGTTACATACATATGGGAGAAGGAAGAAACGCAGAACATAATTTTGGTTTGAAAACATGAAAGAGCATGTTAGGACCATAGATGGAGGATTATAACATTTTATGGAAATTTTGAATGTAAGAAGGATGGGTTCAGGATAGAGTTTTGTGGCAGGCATGTGTGAGGACAGTGATCACTCTTCAGGTTCTATGACAGCAAGGATTATCTTAAACTCCTGATGCCTTGCAGAATGTCAGGTGTGAAAAATATTGTTGGATAATTTCTGAAATAACTTTTTATCATGCCATTCCCACTCTTTGTAATATTGTTGATCTCAAGTAATGGTTGTAGTTTATTCATTGGTTCTATGTCTGTTTCAACATTTTCTGCAGTGTCTGAAGGCCTTTGGTGTATGATGATAAACTTGACTCATTATATGGTAAAAGATATCTCCTGTAATCTTGGATGTAATTGTTTTCTTGTAATCTGAAATTCATTTTCTCTAACAGGCCTGCTGTTATAAGCCCTCCATCTCCAGCTTATGAATTTACTATGATGTTAATATTGTATGCTAGTATTATATGTTTGCTCTGTGTGTTCTTTAAAATCTATTCTAGTAATCCACACATAAAACCACATATGGCAGGAATTTTATATTTTCCTATAGCAAAGTTATTTTTTTTTTTAATTTTCATGTTAGTTAAATTATAGGTGGTAGACATGAGGTAACAAATAAAAAGGGTGATTTTTTTTTATCATATCGAGCTTTGAGTGCGTAATAATTTACAGTTGTTAATTTTGTAACAAGCGAAGAATATTGGCTCATATCCTTCCATTGTCACAAGAGTTCAAGTGTTACAAATTTTTTGTTCAGATTATTTAATAGACCATCTGGGGCAGATTATTGCAAACCCTTCCTTTCATTACCATATGTAGTGTTTCAGACTGTGAATGATGGAAGCCATTTTCATCATATTGGAAGTGTGTTGCATTATTGATTTCTTGTTTGATGCATCCATGAAAAAATAAAGTATGGTTATTTATATGTTTACAGAAAATAAATTAGAGCTATGCAAGAAGGCAGGTATAGTTTTAGTTTTAAGATAAATAAGGGTTAGTGAAATACAGCACTTCATATAACTAGTAGATAATCTTTTGCTCTTGAATGCTGCTGAAATCAGTTGTTGAGTAGTACTTTATCCTAGTGCGGGGACATAAAGTGGAAACTACTGCTTCCTAGAAATATTAATGCAAGAGTTGCTGTTGTTGTGTAAATAGAGGGGATTTTTTTTTTTTTTACTTATACTCTGTTATGTGTTTTCATTGTACAGACAGCAGATCACATTCTTAGAATATGGATGATGAGAGGACTTGTAATTATAATTAAGTCATAAACTTTCAAATTTAGATCTGCTCAGCATACATAGAACTTATTTCACTTACGGAGACTTAACTAGAATTGAGGATGATTTAAAATAGGCCTGCTCAATTTCTAGACACTAGGTCACCATGATGTTGAAATATTCATGATGGACCTTATAATCATCATCTTATATTATTACTATTCATGCATTCATTCATTCGTTCATTCTTAGTTACCTCCTTATTCCCTCTTCCTTTCTTCCTTCCCTCCCTATTCCCTCTTCCTTTCTTCCTTCCTTATCTTTTTCTCTCCTTTCTCCCTGGTTTTTATGACCGCTTTTGTGTTATCATTATCTCCCCCTCCCCTTCTCCTTCTCATCTTCACATTAAGACAGTTCCATTATACCAATTCTTCCCTTTATCTGCCTCCCTCCTTTTTTTAGTATTCCATTGACGTTCCTTTTATTTATCTTACTTGTCCTTGTATTATGGCAATAACAGGAGGCAATTTAGGTTCTTTCCCATATGCTAGCTCTCCCATAGGTAGTTTATGTTTTCCATGTATCCTAGCAACAGCATATTGAATTCCCCCAAGCATGACAGTAGATGTTTCAGTTGCCTCTTTATTGATAATGTCGCATGTAGGCGGGGTATGCGTGACTAAAGTAATGGGTTCTAGTTAGGATTATTGGATTTATTACCACTTATTACCAAAGTTCTCCTAAGTAAAACTAATACTATCTGTGATTTACAGAATTTACAGTTCACTGTTGCACACGCACTAGGATTATCAGTTTCCACTAATTGTGTACTAGCAACAGATCTGAACACAGAAACTAGCACTTTAGATCACAATGAAGTCTTCTTGCCATTTCTTATTAAATCACCTTGGTACCTTGGAACTCAACTAAAAATTCTGGTCGACTCTTTTAACTCCACTGCACTACATTAAACTGAGCTACAGCAGGTCTTTTGTTATATAGGCTCTGCATGGACAACGCAGAAAACACAAGTCATATGATTCGTAGCCGGTAATTTCATTGGCGTGCTGACTGTTGCCTAGCAGTGAGCTCTAACATTGTCCACTGAGACACATCTTCCATTGTTGCACGTTGGAACATGTTTACTGTGCTGTTGCCAAGAAATGCTTTGAGCAGGTCCATTGCAATAATAACACATTTCTCGTCCAGGTTTTTTTTAAGGTCCTAGTCTTCTGAGTTGGCTCCAAGATTTATAGGAAATTTTATGCATTGTTGATTTGATTTCTTTTATTGTTAATATTCTCAGAAAATCGTTATTGATGTAACTGTGGATATATTTACTCTTACCGGCTCATTGGAGCACAGTAATGTACCCCGTTGTTTTGTCAGATGTCCAAGTTGTCTGATCCTCTTGTCTTAAACGTGTACGCAGGTTATTAATCAGAAAGAGGCATAAATTTATATCAAGGTTTTGGAGGTTTCATCTGAACAGTAATTTACATGTTTGAGGAAGATAAAGGGAATATTGTAGCTGGGATATCACATTTGCAGTGAACTGCAACACTACTCAGGGATGTCAGCATTGTACAAAAGGTTTCACAGCAGTTTCTGATTCAGTTGTTCTTATGGGATGTTACACATCTATGGCCCTTTTCTATTGGTGACCTATCATGCCACAGATAATGTTATGTTTCACCATCTTGTTCATATTCATCCAGGTTTCTTACAGGTTGCTTTCTTTAGTGTTCATAAGTTCGAAACATGCCCATACTGTTGTTGAAAAGGAGCTAGCATGATGCATTTAAGATATAAAATGAAATATAAAAACTATTACACCACTGATGTTAAAAGTTTCAAGTGCAGTGTATATGACATTGCATTTTGCCTGTTTCTTTTTCTTGTTTTTTTCCACATGGATGTGAAATTCATATTTTTCTGCTTTTACATCCAAGGAAAAGTAATGTATTTAATTTATTCCTTGAATATCCTCATATTTATGTACCACAATTTGCTTCAATTTTAGGCCTAAGATACATACATTTGCGTGTGATCCATTCCTTTTACACCATCCAAACTAACATGAGTAATTGAAACTAATGACAGAATATTTTTGAAGATTTGTGACATGTATTTAGAAGTAAATGTTGTTTTAAAAAAGAGGCTTGGCATTCTGAGTGGAATGTTCAGTTCTTTTTGGCTTAGTAGGAGGGATCATTCATGTATAATTTCTGCCGTTCGTAATTCTGTTAAATAATAATGACTTTTTGGCTTTCCAGTCATAGTAATAAAAGATATAAGCAAGTACTGTCTCATTCCTAGAGTCATGACTTCTGATGAGTGATCACAGTAGGTACATAGCTTGCCTGGAGGTAGAATGTCCCTCAGGAATACTGTCCTTCCAGATGGCACTAACTCAGAGAAAGGGTGCCGATCACCATATGCTGAGTGAAGAGTCATGGCTACTAATACTCTTGTCATTGAAACAATAAATTAAAATGATATAAAGAAAGGTAGGAACCACACATTTAAAGAATTTTTAATCCTCTTCCTAATTCTGTATTTTTTTTTATTATTGCTAGTGGGGTGGGACTAAGTCCCTTGTACTGCGGCCATTTCTGGCCTATTGTACCAGCCCCAGATGATGGGTGAGGGTGATTGTGGATCAATTGGTAGAATGAAGATTGGCAGGGGAAACCGAAGTACTCGGAGAAAACCTGCCCCAGCGCCACTTTGTCCACCACAGATCCCACTTGACTAGACCTGGGATCGAACCCGGGCCGCCGCGGTGGGAAGCCAGCAACTAACCGCTTGAGCTATGGCGCGGGCCTAAACTGTTGTTGGTTCCGAACCTCGGAACTTCTCCTCACTACGCCGGTGGTTTACCAATTGGCCACCAATGCCACTTGTAATTCTGTATGTATTAGGAAAGTTCTTTCTAGGTATGGGATTTTTTGTTTTTAATGCGTTTTCTGGACTGGCTGTGTTTTACACACCAGCACTAAGTCATGGTATTACTTCATTGCCATACCAATGTTCTTTGATTATTTTATTTTTGTGTGAATAACCTTACATGGTTTATGAGTTTTCTCCTGTTGGCATTACTTACACTTGAGTTCTGAGGAGGATATTTATACCTGCAGTCTGTCCATGATTTAATGCTCCCTCATATCAGTGCTCAGCCCTGTCCAGCTTGAATAGAAGACAGTGACTTCAGTGGTTTCCATCTCCAGACAGCATTGGCTAGCATTCATATATATTGCCAGATATATGTTTTATTTGTGAGCTTTCATTAATCAGACTTACTGGTATGTGAAGAGTTCTGTCTTCTGGGATATAACGCCAAGTGGTCTGTTGAATGTCGTCTAACATTTCAGAGAAACTTGTTGCCTCCATCTTCATGTTCAAAGAATAAACCAAGTGAGAAACCAGTATGAAGCAGTAGCAAGTTTGCTTTCAATGGAATCACAGCGTGATATCCCAGAAGCACCACTGTGAGAACCTCAAATCTCACATGCCGGTATGTACTGTGAATGCTCCAAGCTTGCAACTCCCCTCTTTGACATCTGGAGTTGAAATGAAGATCCACAGTCTTATATTTTTCCACCTGAGTTGGGGTTTGCTATATCACATACAGAGGTGAGACCAGTGATGATTAAAGTTTGGCATCACTGTAGGGAATAATAACAGGACAAGAAAATCTTGCTGGGGTGTTTCAATCAAATCAAGGAGGTTGGAATATGGTGGTGCATGTGGCACACAAGGGGTGTATGAGGAACGAATATAAAATATTAGGAAATCTAGAGAAGTTCGTTGGGGGAAATAGTAGTAGGCATACATAGGAGGATATTATTGAAATGAAGCTTAGAGAAGGAAGGCACAACTGAGTAAGCATTAGACCTTTTGGTGCCATATGTGAATACTATAATAACCAACTATAATATTTTCAAGAAATATCCTGTACCATGTGTTTAGTTATGTACTTTTTTCCTTGTTAGATTTACTCCATATTTTGTACACCAAGTCTTCTGAAACTTAAAAGTATGTTAGATGTCTGCTGCAGTTCAAAATGTTCGTGCTGTTTTGATGTATGCACATCAATAAATCTGAAGCGTTTGAAATAAAAGTAACCTTTTTCCTGAGTCCCTACAGGTAAATGCTGGAATGGTAGCATGAAGCATGGCTGCTTCCTTCCACACCCTTTTCCGTTTATACTCCTGCCTTTTGTTGCTGTATAGTCTGAGCTATTGACAGCATTGTTATATAAATATAATTTCCATTTTAGCAGGTGTTGCGCAAAGTGGATACAACCAACGTCATGACAGCAGTGTAGCTGTAAAATACTACCAGATATATTTTGCAATATCCATTTTTCTTGTGTTTTGTCATCACCGTAGTTAATCAAATGATTAATATGTAATTGAAATATTGTTGTTTCTTCTGTATTTTACAGTGACTTCATTGAATCATTGTGGCGATACAGTATTCAATGATTTACCACAGGATCAAGGGACCTGGATCATTAAAATCCAGGAAATGGGAGAATCAGTGTAGACTGACTTCCTAAACTTGCATTTCTCCAGCACTGCCTGTCAAGTTATTTGCTCAATAGTTACACATTACATAGGTCAGCTACAGCATGTAATGAAATTAGGTAGGCCTGCATTTTGATGTATAGAATTAAGTAGGAACTAGGTTAATTTTATCTGATAATAAGTACATAGAACTGCTGTTTGCAGCCAAAAAGGAAGGACACATCACAGACACGGTACACAGAAACTACTCCCATAGTGGACGAACCATACTATATGCGAGTTTGAATTTAGACATATAGATGAATAATCTTAACAAGTTTTAGTATATACAAATTTTATTATAGTTGACGAATAATGTACTTTTTAAATAACTTTATGAAAGACACAAGATGGCAAACAATGTAATAGCTTAGCGTAAATAACGAACCTGAAGATGGCACTATGTTGCCGAAACATGTAGTAAGAAGCGACATGAAATTGAGTGCACTACAAGACGGCCATTACATATGTATCATGGATGTTAATCTTTTATCCTTGACATGTTTTGGTCTTAGAGAGCATCTTCAGAAGGAAGATTTACAAATCATGTGTCCATTGAGGTCAGCATATTGGGTTTCTTTTGTTCCTTCCAATGGCCAAGGGACAAGACATGTGTTATGGTTTAAATTATAAAACCAGACTGGTATACAGAGTTTCTGTTCTCCAGTTTGGATTTGTCAGCTATAAAAGAAACCTCCATGTTGGCAACTGCTTCAGGAGGAGAAGTATCAACATTTTTATCTGTACTTTTTAGTGATTCCAAAATTAATTTTATTTTTAAATTAGAATATTTGAGGCTTAAAGAATTTAAGCTTTATATCCTGATCATTTTACAGTTGAAGTAGTTTTGTTAGAGAGTCCCACCTCCCAATCAAAGATTTTTTCAGCTATGATACAGTTAATTGATTGTTGATTGTACTTTACCCTAATAATCTTTATATATATATATATATATATATATATATATATATATATATGCTTTGAAATAACAAGGTAATAATTTGACATTTCTTATACACAGTGATGAAGTTTATATTGTTTGTTATTATGGTTTGGATGACTATTTTTGTAAGAATCCAATGAAAGGTGGCCCATCCTGCCATTTGAAATCCCTTAGTACCTTTAAGAGTACCCCCAGGGGTGGGTTTATCCCACTTTGTGAAACCTCAGGTTATGGTACTGAGTGCTAAGAAGTCATATGTTTCGGGGATGAAAGTAGTAATACATTAAACCCCCATTTCTGGCAAGTAATGAAATGGGGTGTGTCAGTTGCATGAGAAAGGCCTTAATAGAAACCTGATGCAGAATAAAACAACAACATGAAATCTTATTCGACTATCATCTGTGTCAGTTATTTTAAAATTTTATAATTTCATGGACCATCTCTGCCCTCATCATCAGGGTCCGATGTGACATAAGATTCAAATTGTCCCAGGTTCCAGCCTGCGCCCTGTAATTGGAACTGGGTGCAAGCCGGTAGAGTGCTAGTGGGTGGAGTCATAAGTTTGTGTGTCCTGGGCCAACACTTCATTTGCTCACAGTTCCTATCACGGGCTGTCGGATACAGATGGGGCAGTCTGAATATACCTTGATGAAGGGGGGCAGAGATAGTTCCTGAAATGGTACTGACATGGCAGGTAGTTAGAGAAGATTTAATTAACTTTGGCCACTGTGAAAGCTTCAGATCTTGAAGGAAAAATGCTTTTGCTTTTACTCTTGCATTGGAATCTTCCTATTTAACATTGGAATTGAGTGGGTCTGGAACAGGGTCCAATCAGCCTCGTGAGAATAATTGAGAATCTATTTTAAGGAAATATCAGCTCCAGTCTAGAAAACTGAGATTAACAGCTGTGGGGATCTGTTGCACTAACCACGCAACACCCTCTATCCACAAAAGTTGACACTGATTTCTCCGACAAGTGGCAGTCGCTTGGTCAGTATTGTTTGCTTGCGGACTACAGGCCACGGAGTTTCTTTTAATTGATGTAGAAGGATTTTGGATGCATATACCAAGATGTGATCACAGATTCATATAGCTTCTACTGTAATGGCACGCACATACAGGAGGATGATGTCACTGCTAGAGCTTGTTGGACAATCTTCCATGTCGTTCATGAACATATGCACCTTGCAGAGTTTTTTTTTTTAATAATGTTGTAAAGTGGTAATTTTTCTTTAAAATTTTGCTGGTTGAATGGGAATTCTGGATAACTTGGATATTACTATATATGGTGATGCACAAATAATTTCATTTTATCAGGTGTAGATTTTTGGAGCGTTTTTGTCTTTTAAAATAGGAACTGTTGCCAATTTTAAATGCTCTATGAATTATTACTTTCAACTCTTGATATTGAGCCTTTTAAAATTACAGTAGGTTTGTTTGTTGTGCTTTTTAACAGTTGTAACATCTAATAATAGATGTTAACGGAATTCCAAACTAGAAGGATGAAGATCAAAAGGCAACTGTTCGTGTGACTTGTGCTATTGCTCGTGACCTCCCATTCATCTGCAGATGGCGCCTGCTGGAACCCTACTTCTGTTCCTCTGCACAGCATCTGCCTTGCTACGCCCAGCGTTACTATCTTCTGGGACTGATGTTTCATTCCTGGACCGTACTTTACTGGAGAAAGACATTGCAGCAGTGTTCAACAAGGTAAGTTCTGGCTTCAGTTGTTGCAATATGAAATTACATTTTATTGCCTCCTATAATTGCACAACATATGGCTATTTTCCAAGGGAAGGTGCTTTATTCAAGAGTTCTCTACATGCCAACTTCACATTAATGATGCATGCTGTCATACTATAGGAACCAAATGAGGAGCAGTGAAAAACTACCACAAAGTATAATTTTCCTCTTTTAAAGGTTGTCAGAAGTATATGAATATAGGAATTAATTGCCAGTGTGGATTATATGACTGGCTTCTTCATCTCTCTGAAATTAAAATGCAGTACAGTTTCTGTTTCCCATGATTCATATGTGAGATTTATTCAGTTGATCACATATCTTCTGAATTTTCTAAGTTTGCCTTTTTTTTTTAAATTCATACAATGTTCACAAGAGCATGCTGCAGGGACCCTGCCCTGAACTAGATTAATTCACCCCTCACCTGCCCACTCTGTTTCTTTAAGATTCATTTTAATCGTATCCCCTCATTTATGCCTAGGTCTTCCAGGTGGTTCTTTGGCAAAACTGTTCTGTGCATTTCTGATCTCTGCTGTGCATACTCAATGGCCTCACCATTGCTTCCTTAATTTTATTTTTCTGGTACTGTTAGATGGAGAGTACAGATCATAAAGCTGCTCCTTATGCAGTATTGTCCAACCTACTGTAACTTCTAAATATTCTGCTCAGCACTGATTTCTAACACACCCTAAATCTCAGTTCTTCACTTAGTGTGAGGTACCAGGTTTCACACCCATACACACTAAAAGTAATATTGTAGTTTTATGTATTTAGATAGCAGGTGGGAATTGAGAAGATTCTGAACTGAATAGGATTGTGCATTCCACAAATTTAATCTGCTCCTGACTTCTTTGTGAATGCGATTTTTATTTGTTACCCTTATTGCAGAGTATCTGTACTCTGCTGCATTTCTTAAGGTTCTGGTAGTTGTCTTTATAATGTTATATCATCATGGATCCTCATGGTGAGACAAGAACATGCACTTTGTTTTCTCCTAACTACCTACAGACCAACCTCCTTACCAGTATTTTTTTAGGAGAATTTATGTTTTTCAAAATTAATATCAGCATAGATCAGAAGCTGGGGATATGAAAATATTGAAGAATAATTCAGTGTTCTCGTTATTAGTGTATGCGATTTCTTTAGATGTTTACTTTATATGCATATAGAAGTGCATACAGAGTTGTAGTCCGAAAATCTGAAGGGAAGAAACTGCTTATAAGACATAGGTGTAGATGGGGGGATAATGTTGAAGTGTATCTTAAAGCAGTAAAGAAACAGGGGCCATTGTTGGGCTCTTGTGAACATATAATTAACCTTTTGATTCCATAAAACATGGGAAATTTTTTGTTCTGCATGGAAGACTGTTATCTTCTCAGTAAGTACTCTGCTCCGTGGAGTAACTTAGGTAGAAAACTTGGGCTTGTGTATTTGAATGCATTATAATTGAAATCTGTATGAAACCACTTCTGTTCATAAAGTATAACATTAGTATTTTTATTTTCCCAGGTGGCGTATGGCGGAGCAACGACTACAAAACGCAGCATCTCATCAAAATACTTTCCCGCTTCAGGTTCCCCTACAACTGTACCTCCGCCATTCACAAGTATTTCTCTACCAACAGTACCACCAAAGATTGTAACCCAACCCACACTTCCGTACACTAATCCGTCAAGTCATAAATCTCTTCCACCTGTTCCCTCTATGCATCCAACTACAATGCCTCCATTTATGCCGCCCAAGACATTATTTCCTCCTCCCTTTACAACTCCATCACCTCGTGAGGTACCATCATATATACCTCCAATACGATCCTATTTTACTCCACCTCTGCCCCCAGATTATGCAAATCCATTTGCTGATAAGCCAACACTCAGGGGGAGTAATTCTGATGGTGGAATTCCGAATGCAGGAAGGAGACCAATTCCACCACCACCTAGGCCTCCATCAGGAAGGGATCGTATTCCTTGGAGACCACCAGACATGGTGCCAAATTTAGAACGAGATGGGAGTGGGTAAGGAGTTCAGTTACACTGTATGAGGAAGCACATTCCCAGCGTAGTACTTATGTGTAGGTTGTATTGGTACAGCATCTTTTGTTGTTTTTCCTAGTGTTTTTATTGTTCCACATTGCAGCTGCATATCAGTTTGTCCTTTCATTCAACCATACAGTGAGGCCCAATAGTAGTGGTAGATGGAGTTCATCTAATCGGTGTACTGTAGAAGAAAATTCACATCAATGTGGTTCAAGGTTAACTTGAACATATTTTTTCCCCCCCTAGAAAACTCATGGATGACAGAATCACCAAAATATCATTCCTTTTTCTGTATATTCTTCTACACTGGTACATTTTTGTTATTATTGTGGCAGAGCACTGATGCTGGCAGCATAGAAAGATGTAGCATTGCGTCATAGCCAGTTCAGGACACCGTGCATGAGTTCATCCATGTTAAATTTATACCCTTATAGTGCTTCAGTGGCCCAAACAAGTGAAAATGACTGGGGGCTAAGTCTTGACCATAATATGGGTGTTCAGTGTTGTTAAACTGTCAAATTGTTATGCAGTACAGTGATCTTGAGTGACTGTTTCCCACATCTTTTGTTATGAATCCCTAGGCAAACAGTATTTATAAGAATGCTGCACATTTTGCATGCAATATCAAACAGTGTAATTCACATGTTGTCTAAAATAATTTGTTTACTGTCATGAATGTTTGCATCTGTGACAGCTGTCAGCTGATTATGAGCATATGGTCAGTTAGCAACTTTTTCTTGGCCTTCAGAAAATTTGTTGCACCAATCATATGCACTGGTACATGATCCGATCCCTCAGCATAATGTGCAGTTGGCTTGTGTGGAATTCTAGCCAGTTACGTTTTGTCTTTCACTAGAAATTTGATGACATATTACTGTTTGACACTCAGAGTGACTGGGTCTTAACACCATCTTGTACCTTCTCTTTATGTGCCCATGTTGGGACACATTCACATGTCAGAAAATGAGAGCAGTGTTTCCAGCATTTGAACAAATAGATTTTTGTTTTGTTGCTGACATCTTTTGAAAAAAATTGTAGTTCACCGTCACATTTCTCTATGGTGATAACACCATCTTTGTATTGAACTTACCGTATTAATTGCGCCCCTTGTCACCATGCCATGGCATATCCTTAGGTTGCAGATGGAGGAGATCATTGCCAGATATAGAGTAAGAACTCATGAACAGTTTTATTCATTACTGGATTCATGCCGCAGATTGTTTAAAAAATTACAAATATTGCCACTTCAGTCTCAGTACATTTGTCGTTAAGAACAGAAATTATTTTCTAGCTAATACTGATATTCATGATATCAACACGTGTTATAATCACAATTTATATTTACCTTCTACAGATCTGTCAATAATTAAAAAAGGAGTGCTTTTCTCAGGTAGCAAGATTTATAACCACTTAGCTCAAACATTAAATTGCTATCCAAAGATATTAAAGAGTTCAAATTTTTATTAAAAAGCTATCTCACTGAACATGCTTTTTATAGTATTGATGAATATTATAAATCAGCTTCTCAGTGAACACTTTGTCTTGATTGTCTCTCCTATGGATAATATAATTACACAGCTTATGTAACCACTACAACTGTATCAGTTTTTGTATTACTGTATATGACTGCACTAATTTATAGTGGTTCTTAGTGTTTTCATTTGTCCTTGTATGGGTTAGGAATATTTATTTTATTATCTTATGTTCAAACATGGTTATGAATGTATATTTTATTATTATGTTTAAACATGACAGATTCTATATCCAATAGGTTGGTTTGACCTTATATGGATTGACAGAATGCACTAAAGAAATGAAATGAAAATTTAAAGGGTGTTGATGATGGTGTATAATACTCAGAATTACTGGGTTTCTGGACTTTCTCTGTTGTCCAGTATTCTAAAAATTAGAAAATGCAACGTTTCAGAAACTGGATCTGTTTCCATCCTCAGGTGAAGGGAGACACCTACTCTGTTTTGTCGCTTACAAAGAGCTGATGTCAATCACTTGATGATGACTTAAATATAAGGCAATCCCACACTGGGAAATATGTTTACATAAAAAGACATTTTTGTGAATTAATTTCATACATATATGACAAAGCTGTGATAGAAAGAAAGGTCATAAAACATGTTACACATGATGTTTATCGAGTTAGTTTTCTTCTTGAAGTCACTAGCTGTTACTCGTCTTTACCCATCACACTCTTTTCACCATTTTTATCCTCTGCAACAGCTTTGGTGTCTGAACAGTTTGCGTTTCCTTTCTCACACTCATGTTCACTGCTAACTTTCCTAACTTCTTCCACATCTGCCCTGCCATCCACTTCATCAGATATATGACATCGCATAAATCTTTTGACTATCCCTTTTGGAGAAACTGTTGCCATGGTCTTGATCCATTGGCACCGCAGTTCTACACTGGACATCTATATTAACACATTTGGTGTTAGAACATGATTCACTGTGAAGAGCCATTCAAAATACAATTATGTCAAATGGTCCTTAAAAGTCTTATTCACTAGAACAAGTAGTTATGATGTCATCCTCGAGGTATGACCGCAAGGTCACTCACTATTCAGTACATGATCACAGATCTGACATCCAGTGTTACATGAAATTTGAAGGCGTCAGGCACAAGCACTCCTTATTTCTCAACAGTACTATTGGTCTTCTGTGCCAGGCATGAAACCAGTCTCCCAACAGTTTAGTTAGTCTTGAATCCCTTAATTTGGCACCTGATAGGCAGCTGTGTCTTAGGCATAGTTTTCAGTGCTGTATGCGGATAGTTTTGTATTGTGAGCAGTGGAGCGTGGAAGCAAACCAGTCATTTGTCCCCCTCCCACATTTTTTAAAAGAATAAAATCTTAAGAATGAAGAAATAACCCAAATATTAATAGTTCAAGTTAACAGCATATTAACAGCATATATTCTTTAAAGGTATTATTCTAAATACTCAGGGCAGACAATAAAATAGTCTTAAATGGTTTAACTGTAAGTTTGTAAGTATTGTCGCTTGGTACCTGGTAACCTACTTCTGTCTCCTCGGTAACGTGAGGAATAATTTCACGTAGGTCTCCGATTCAGCGAATATTTATTGAACATTCTTGTCCACACTACAAGTACTATTATCATCCACTATTAAACTGTTATAATTACTTCTTGCACCGCTGATCTTAGTGAAGTCTTTTATTTCCTTTTTTGGATTCGAGCTTGCTTTCGCTCTACTCGGAGCTACACTAAGAACTGACTGGCCTCAAGTCAAAGCCACATTGCAGCTGACGGTCAGTCAGTCAGTGAGTCTTGGTGAAATGGGGCTCATGACCACATATTAATTATTACTGTGTGACAGATATGGTCTTGCTTCTGTGGGGCGCCCTCTCTGACGAGAGGGCAGGTCTGTCTTTTGTATATACTGCTGGCCCTTGCCAGTGCAGTCTTTCTTGGGTCCAAGTCCCTTGGGACTTGTGACCATATTTTACTGTCTCAGATTTGAGACTTCCCTTTGCATCGCCTCCTACAACTCGCAGGGTCACGGTGGAGGTATTCGACCCTGCCTCCACACTGGGTTGTCTAACTGCTCTCTTGTCGAAGCTGGGCTTTTATAACCTCAGCTGTTGCTATGCAATGAACCTAATGTTGTCATTCAACGCTTCAAAGAATTCGTTCTAACCGTGGATACTCACTGTTAGAATTACAATATTGTGTTGCTTCCGTTGTCTAGGAATGGATGGATCGTTGCCTAGGAAGTGACTTAGGATATGCGTTCTTCAGCACGTTACAGTATGTTTTATGGCTTTCACCCTTCATGAATAGCTGGCTGTCTGTGTCTGGAAGAACTGGCAGTGTTCATGCTGCCAGCTTTGTTACCTTTACAGTCTCACGTTTCTTCATTGCCTGAGTTTTTTATGAGAACATGTTTTGGGCCTCCATCATTGATGGTCTGACTGGATAGCATATATAAGTGCACCCACAGTTTGTTAGTATTGCCTTGAAGTGTGATGACAAATGAAGTTCTTCATTGTAAATGAAACTGTTCGACCACATCATTTATACACACCCTGCTATACTGGACTATTTGTAGCACTCGTCGAGTTTAATGATGTTGGAAAAAATTGGCATTCATTTGTCTTTGAATCTGACAGTATTTGTGTAGATTTTGCACAAGTTCCTGTTTCTGTTGTTTCCACCGTTGATGTTTGCTTCAGGGGACTGTGCATAATCTTGCTGCTATGTACAGTAAAACTTGGTTATAGCAACATCGGTTTCTGCGACACCTTGTCTATTGCGTCAAATATTCAATGGTACGAACTAATTCCTCATAAAGCAACTGTTTTTATACTTTGCTTAGTACGACATGCACAAATGCATCAACCTCATATGTAACGTCATTTTCATTCCTGAATTTCTCTGATATTGGACATTGAACGTAATTTAGAAAGTGTGTATTGGGCAAGTAACAGGAAACAGATGAAGATAACTGATTACTGTACTCGTATCTAGGTACAGTAAGGCACAACAATTGATGTAATCTACTGTAATTTGGTGAGTAGGCCTACCTTTAATATACAGTATTAGTGCGGTGTGTATTGTCAGTGAAAAGTGCTGTAATATGTCTTTGATATTACACATTTGGGCAATTCCACGTTAATGTTACGTTAGTCTGTACTTAACTACGTATTTCACTAAAAAATGCAACATTTTAACTCGGTTTTTGGTAGATTTTTACGTGACTAACATAAGGCTACTGTGGAAGTGCACATTTCGGTTACGACATTCGTTTATAATGACACTATTTTTAGGTCCCTTTGATGACGTTATAACCAAGTTCTACTGTAGTTTGTTTGTTCTGCATGATTAATCACCATAATGTGAAAGTATGAATCATTGTGGCACCTGATATTTTCATACTATTACCTTTTTTCTTGATATGGTCTGCCACTTTTGTGATGCGGAACTCTTGTATTTCAACAGAATCTTCTTATATCATAAATCAGCAAACTACTACTTTTGTTTCCTAACGTCAGTGGAACTTTGTGTAATTGCAAGGCAGCTAGTGGCTTCTGATCTTGAATCATTTCTGCCTCTCTTGCTTTGTCTCTTGCTGTTGTAATAACATAGTATATCATGAGCTTTGGAATGGACACACTGAAAGCTTAAAATGGATTAGGAAAATCCAATTAATATTTGCATATGTATGTATATAACATTCAAATTCAGTATGACACGAAGTTTTGTAACTTTCAGAAGAGGGGAGAGTCTTGATGGAATACTCCAAAGAGTTTTATGTAGTTTTATTATTCTTTCTCTTTGTGTTATTGTTTTTGATTTGATTATTTTCTTGTGTTAATGGGAATATAAGTTTAACTGCCCTTTGTTTTTGACATGTTTTATAGTTTTTTGATCATCTTCAATTCTGGCAGATACAATACTGATCCCTTTTGACAATGCAGAAGCAGTTTCAAAAAATTTTTGATGTTCAAGACTGAAAATGAGCTTTTAAATCAAGTCATGATTTGATCTTGAAAATTTGAGGCTTACAAATGCATAGAATTTAGAATTGTGCAATTTTTTTTAATTTACTTGGTGGGGGGTGGAGTCCAAGTGGCTCCACTCGGCTTAGCGGCCACTGATTGGTGTATTGTAGCCTGCCCCAGGTGATTATGATGATAGAGAATTTGGTGGAATGAAGATTGGCAGGGGAAACTGAAGTACTCGGAGAAAACCCACCCCAGCGCCACTTTGTCCACCACAGATCCCACTTGACCAGACCTGGGATCGAACCCGGGCCGCTGAGGTGGGAAGCCAGCAACTCACCGCTTGAGCTATGGCACAGCCTAGCATTGTGTAATACTCAAGATTTGTTTCATTATAGGGTGCTAAGGCATGTTCTTTAGAGTGGCAGGTTCCTAGGAAAAATTTTGCTTCAGAGTTTAGTGTAGAAAACCGTATGTTTCAGATACATATAACACATGAACTTGGGTGAAAGAATAGTGCTGATATGTGTCATTTCAATTTTTTCAGCTCTGTGTCAGCTTCTTCAGATCGCAAGAAACCGCTCAATACTCCAAGCTTCAATCGTTCTCCTGAAGCTCCATACTCAGAACTGGATAAAATCCCAGGTCCCAGCATCCAGCGTCCATCGGCTAATGAATCTGATTTAGAGTTTGTTTCTATTCTTCAGTATCCTTCTGTTTCTCGCATCCTTTCAGGAAGTAATGGTCGCAAGCCTGAAGCTCAACCTCAACCTGAGGTTTTCCAGAGACTTAACCCACCAGAATCGAAAATTCCTCGTATGCCAGAAGTGTTTCCAGAACTTGCCATGGATCCATCAGTTACAAAAACATCAAAAAAAGATATCTCTCCACAGACAGTGCCTGCACCTGATATTCAGGCCCCACGTGTTAACCCAGAAACTGCTCAGAATCTATCAAATTCTCTTGATAACAAACCACAACCTCCAAACATCCCGTCCAATACAGATTCAATTATTGACCAGCATACAGAGGGAAAACCAGAACAGCTTCCTAATCCACAGCCTCAACCTCCAAAACCTGATGCTGGATCACCAGACACGCCAAATCCATCCCGAAGTTCAATTCGAAATAAGGCACGTCTTGCGTGGGATGTTCACGTATATCTGATAGCATCACTTTTCACAATCCTTGCTCTGTGTTCCTTGGTGAACATTTTTCGTGTCAACATATGTAAGCGTCTCTTGTCACGTGGCTATTACATCACCTTGCATGGCGTTTTGCTCATAATTGGTGTCGTACGTTCTGTATATCTCTTCTATGATGCTTATAATGTCAACAGTTCCTTTCCTGAACCCATCTCTCACCTTTTACTGAATATTGTGTTGCCATTGTTGACTTCGGCCTTTATTATACTCTTTATATTCCTTCTATATGCTTCAAAAGTACATATTTTTGGCCTTGGCCTACAAAGGCCTTTCCTCACAGGTGTGTTTATAATATTGCATATTTTATTATGCATTACAATGGATCTTGCAACAGGAATAGACCAAAATATGACGTATCTACCACTCATTTGTCAGTCAATCTTCATTATATTATGTATCTCCCTAGGGTTTGCATATCTTTATGCCTACAAACATCTGTCAAAATCTGCAGCTGTTAGAAAACAGGATAACATTTTTGGAAGTGGATTTACGAACATTGCATACCCGACATTGGCTGTTGCTGTTCGGGCCACTTTAGCAACAGCACTGTTAAGCCTTTTAATGGCAGCTGTTCAATTGTATGGAATATTCGGACCTTACAATGTCGCGAATCTGGGTAATGACAAGACGTTTGGATGGTTGTGGTGGGGTTATCAGTTCTCAGTGCGTGTCATAGAAGTGTCAATGTGTTTTCTCTTATCTTGGGCTGGGGTTCAGCCCCTTCGGTCGAACAATATCGAAGATGAAAAAGAATCACAGAATTCAGGGTTTGCCTTGTTTCGTTGTGGCCAGTGTAATAATACCCCCCAGAGCAGTGAGGCTACTGATGATATTTATCCCGCTGTCTGCGTTACTAATCAGGCCATTCATGATTACACAGTTCGAACAGGAAAGAAAGTCTATGATGACTCATTTCCTCTGAACAATTTGCATAGTGGACTCCCTTTACAAGAATCCACAATTAGCATCTCTACCTCTGAAAGACGCTCTTTGCGAAAGACTGGTTATGTATCAACTAATGACTCGCCATATCCTGTAATTGGGAGTGGCACTGTAGAATGCCGATCCGTGATGAAAAAGTCTGGAACTTTTGATATTGAAAGATCAGATTTTGATTTGCCATTCTCCACCACAAATGAAGTTCGTCGTTCATTAAAGAATTCAAGTGGTAATGGTGGTGGCAGTGGCGGAGGCGGCAGTAGTGGCAACAGTGGTGGGGTTGGGGGTGGTGGCGGTGGTGGTGGGACCTTAATATCGCTGAATGGTGATTGTGACCTGCCAGCAGATTCTGTCAGTGCCAGTAGTGGGACTGTGGAGAGGAGACCAGTGAAGAAATCTGGTACCTTGGATTTAGCCATTGGCTTCCCAGGTAGAGGGACTTCAGATGCGAGGCGGTCCATCAAGAAGTCCGGAACTATGGCATCATTGAATTCTGAAAGAAGAACACCTGTAAACCAACATAGGGGTGGCACACAGACTTTATGTTCGACAAGAGAGTGTTCATCACCTTCCATGTTAGTAGCGGAGAATGGATTTGTAAGATTTAGAGCACTTGCAGACCCAGAAGAACAGGATGTGCAAGATGTGGTTGGAAGATAAAACTAATTTTTCACTATGATGTTACGGATCTTTGAAGCATGACAGTTCATATAAGACTGAGTCCATTTCTTTACAGGCAGATGCAAGTAGTGCATAGTGCTGGATTGGCTTGAAATATGGTTATGTTTTTCTGTGATCTCATCCTTTCAATGTTATGCACTACCATAGTAGAGTTGCACTGAGAATGTCCATATTTCAAAGCCCTGCTGTGATAGCATTGATGCATAGCTTCTGTTACTGAAAAATTTTAGGGTTGGGGGATGTTAGCAGATAAACTTACCATGCAGATTTTGGAACTGTAAACGTTTTTGGCCCTTTATAAACCATGAAAAGTGTATAAAGAGCGCAGATTGGTGTGACCTAGCACCCAAAAAGTTACAGGTTATTTATTTGTTTACCGATGCAAAATTTTGAAAATGTGAAGAAGAAAAAAAGTAAGTTGTGTGGAAATGCAAATCTTATGAAATCATAAAAATGTAATTTTATTAGCTAAGTACAGATATTTAAGTTTTTCTTTTGTAATTTGTATTGCAGTGGAGCTTCATAACTTGTCCTGTTCACTAAGTATGATTAGAATGATCAGCTTGATGAGGATGAGATGGACAGGTCATGTAGCATGAATGGGGAGAAGAGGAATGCATATAGGATATTGGTGGGAAAGGCAGACAGGAAAAGACCTAGGTAGTAACACCAAGATGTAGGTGGGTGGATAATACTGAAATGGATCTTAGAGAGTTGGGATAGATTGGCATGGACGGGATCAGTCTCTTGCGAAAATGGTAATTACCTTTGGGTTCCATAAATTGCTGGGAATATCTTGAGTGACTGCATGATTGGTTTCTTCTCAAGAAGGTCTGAGTCCCATCAAGTTAAGTGTGTATTGTAACGTTTTTTACACCCTGCATGGAAGTGTGTGATACAGACATAAATAATTCCACAATTTTTTAAGAAGGTGGTTAAAATTCAAAATCTTCAAAATGCCAATCTGAATATCTAATATTTTTAAAGATAAACATACTTTTGTGGTTCAGTTAATTCCTGAAAGGTCACTTACTGTAGCTTCCTTATTTTTTATTGTAATTTATGAAGTATTCTTGCATAATTTTAGAACACCAAGTGTAGACCGTGTAATTGTTGTAATCTTTCTGCCTGTTGCACTGGACAAGCTTTGTACTTCTCATATGAATTCTTCTGGTGGCATCAAGTGCTTTCACTATTAAATAACTACAGTTCATTAGGCATATGTAATCCTCTCCTACCAGGTACAATTGAGTATTGAGTATATAGAGGTGGTGGGTTTCCCCATGCACTTAGACCAGTTATTGGTCCATTGTGCGTCCCCCTTTTAATTTCTACTGTCTCCATACCCTACCGGTACTGGTGCTCGCTATTAGCCCCTTTCTGCCAGCGAGGTTCCAACCTTCTACTGGCAGTGGTATCTAATAGTTAGTCCCTTTCTGTCAGAGAGGTCCCCCCTCCTCTGGCAGTGATACTTAATATTTCCCCATCTACCGGAGGCATTGGAAACTACTTTGGGCGGGAAACTTTTTCCAAATTTAGCTCAGAGGTCTCCTAGAGACATGAGGTTCTTTTACGTGCCGTAAATCTACGACATGGGACCCACGGCTTAAAATCCCTCCCGGAGGAGTTGTTCCCTGAATTTTTCCGCCCTTAAAAATTCCAAGACCTCCGCTGGGTTTGAACCCGCGTACCTTGAGTCATGAGATGGGAACGTTACCCCTAGACTACGGAGGCTGCTTACCAGGTACTATGCTGCACACTTTCAGGGTTATTTTCCTGTTCAATAATAAATGAAAACCCCCCATTTAAAATACAGGGTTAGCCTAAAAGAAATGTACACTTTCGAAGTTTACATGGGTAAGATACAAGTGTTCTATATGTGACCCTTTTGTAACATGACAAATATCAGTGTGATCTTCTAGTCCTTCCCAAACAGTTCTCAGCATGCCCATATCAACAGTTGCAGCAGCTACTGTGATGCGTTGTTTAAGATTATTCACGCTTGTAGGGAGGGGAGAAATCATTACTTCCTTCATTCTGTTGCTGCATGTCCATGCAGAATGAGTGATGGGGGATTTTGTTGTTTTCAGTGAGGTTCTGCAATAATTGCAACCGGTAAGGGAACATTCATAAACGTTTATGCAAGATATCCACACAGTCTTTTGTGGAACTTGAAGTTCTAAACTTGCATGTGTTGTCAGCTTTTTTGGGCTGCGCATGTAATTTTCACGAACATTAGTCATTTAAACTATTTCTTTTAGGCTAACCCTGTACTTTGCATTGGTAGATGAGAGAGATGTTTGCTTTAGGCAGGGAAATCTCTGCAGAAGATGAAACCATGTCGGGGTGTAGATGTACAGGAAATTACACATTCTTACATCAAGGTTTGTTTTATAATAAACTTACAGAGTTGACATCAGCACTTGTTTTAAACTGTTTCTTTAATATCTATTCATTTTAGGGCTTCAAATAATGTGGGAGCGATATGTTTTCATCTGATAGCTCTGTCTTCTCTCACTGCATTAAATTGCTGACCACTGTAAATATGACCAAATTAAAAATGAAAACATCAGTGATAGAAGAAGCAGGTAAAGGTCCAGCATGATAGACTGAATTCAGACCATGCAGTTGCAAATTATTTGTGTAATGTGTATAAAACTCTACTATTGTAGCAGGCAGCAAAATTACAAAAAAATCCCACTTATTCCAAATAACACGGAAATAACATAAATTGATGATGATGATTATAAACATTAGGAAATGAAAGTGGATGGGGAGTTAGTAGAACCACTGAATGTGCATTAGTTTGAGAAAGCTGGATTACAGATTTTGTTATTGCTGTATTTCTGAATGACACTATGTTGAAGTATGCAAAAACAAAGAAATATCACAGTTACTGCAGTATTCCACTTTTGTGATTTCAAAAGATATGGACTTGCAAATTATTATTTTCTGTGTTTTCAGAAATGTGCATCTTAATAGTGTTTTAAATTGAAATAGAGAGTCTCATTAGTTACATGATAAAACATCCTACTCAGATTTCATTTCAATTTAAAACAGTACCTTTTCTCAGAATTATAGTGTGTCTGCTAGAATTGAAATGGATTCAGTTCAAAAGAAATTATATCCCAAACTTCATGAAGGTTTCCATTATGTATGATACATGGTTCTCCAATCACATGTCAGTTCTGCAAAAACATTGATGGATAGGAGATTCTGTCATTTATATTTTCAGTATTATCCTGGTGTTATGCTTTGAAGATCAAGAACATTGTTCCTTATGTGTGATTTGTATATACAGTGCGTATTTTGTTTCTTTTGCTTGTAGAATTTATTTCACATTTCTATAACTGGTTACATTTCAGTTGAATCATATTTCATTTAGAATGAAATTTAATTGTGCATTATTACAAAGTAATGCATGAACACTGCTCTTTTGAAAGAATTTGGGTGACAATATGCAGCATATGCTCTTCAGAATTTGTTAATTAACATTACTGGTTGCTGGATAAGGAAAGTGTAATGTATACCAAGGCAAATATTAATTTTAAGTACCTTCTGTAGGCAGCAGTGCTTTCAGTTAAGGAAGTAATTAAACAAGACTTCAAGATGGATGTGAATTTAAGCTTCGTACTGTGTCTCATTAATAGAGCATAGGGATTTGTTGTGTGAGTTTGAGGCATCAGTCAATTCACATGCTTTTTAAATATGGCCTATCTTACGTCAGCCCGCTCCCTCTGTAAAGGTAAAAAGCCCCTGTGTTTGACTAATTAAGCACTATGCCATGAAGGCATATGGGGGAGTGGACGTATAGATCCATGTATTTTTGACCTCAGAACTATTTGGAGGTGAGTGGTCAGCTTCATGCCTCAGCCACTTTACCCCTGGCAAAATAATCCCTGGTACCCACTGGATAGGAGGCTGGTTAGGCCCCAGAACTGGTCAAGATGATGTAGAGAAGAGAAAAATCTTTCCCTTACCAGGACTTAAACTCCGACCCTCAGTCATCTGGCTTGTAGCTAGTCACTATACTGACTGATCCCTCTTTAATTTGTGGACGCAACCCTAAAATTTAATACCCTACTGTCAAATTTACATATAAGATACATAATTGAAACACCATTCAGGCCTAAAATGGTTTATTATATTTAGTAGTTACGTGTGATATTTTTTCTTGAAATTAATATGTTTATGAAAGCTGAGAACAAAAGTTCATTATTCTTGATATAAAATTGATGGTGCTTCATCATTTTACAAGAGTTCTGATTATTTTGCCTGCTTATTTTATAATTTCACTAAGCTATTGTGTTCATATTAGGAGGCATTTTAGTGTTGATAGGTTGAGAGTGGAACATACTTCTCAGTTATACCCGTTATGTGACCATCTTTTCATCTACCTTACCCATTTAGTGTACCCACTCTCCCAAAACATACCAGTGGTATCATTAAATTTGGTGTGGAAGTATTCAAATTTGATGGTAGGTTATAATCATGTTCTGTAGGTGACATATATATACAGTTGTCTTGAAAGTCACCTCACCAAAATTATGCTTATGTTGCAAGGAAAAACTACTTGATTTACAACAAAACACCAGCAGAAAGTTACAATGAGGAGCTGCAGAAATTGTTCAAATTGTTGTCCATCATGTTCAGTGCACTGATGATTCACAGATTGCTGCACAAAGTTTTTTATTTGTATTTAAATTTGCAAATTCCACATGAATGTGTTTTTCCTTTGGCAAAACACTAGTAGGCTTCTTGTTGTAATCGCTGTCTTTGATGTATCCCACATGGAAAAATTGCAAGGTGTAAGATGGGAGACCTTGTGGGCCACTTTACATTGGATATTTCTCGTCACTAAAATTGCACACCTTGCACCCGAAATAAGATGGACATGTAGCGTCAAAACCAGAGGTGGGGTATAAACCACCTCAGTTTTAGGCTTTAGCTTTCTGGATCCTTTCAACTAACGACTGCATGAAGTCATAAAAATTATCAATCAAAACAGTTTTAATCGTTCTGTTTTGTCTTCTTAAGAGTAAGAAGGTCGGTAATTACAAGTATATAGACTTTGTTCTTTCAGACCACGTTTTTGAGGACATGGTGCTTTTCATTTTCTGGTGTCACTGAGCTCTCTAGAAGTTCCATGTAACTGCAGTTACAGTGCCTGTGATGAGGAAGGGCCTGAACATACCTTGTGCCTTAAGAACAGGAGTCTCTGACTAGGGAAACAGAAGCCACCATCTTAATAACTAAAGATGTATAGAATAATCTCTTTATTTTACAAGGAACGATATTTCATTTTGATCTCCCACGGTTTTCACATCACATAAATACATTTGACAAATACCTCTCATTGAAGTTGATTTGAAAACATGGACACAGCAAGAAAAATATTTTAGCCCATGATCAGTGTATACAGAGACAAAACTGTAAGATCATAAGTGTGGTTGACCATAGGCTAATGACAGTTTTTAGGGTGGCAGATATGAACCTTAATCTCCACTCAAGTTTT